AGATGTATGAGTCCAGCTAAATCAAGAAGAAAACATAATTAATGACAGGTGATTGTGGTGCCACAATTCCTGAATACCAACAAACCAAAGTTCACAAAGAAACAGGATGACCTTCCTGGCTTGACCATCAGAACACTGACTACAGGGAGTGATTTTAGCTAAAGACGTCACAAGAATTGTGGATGAAAATTACTGACATTTTATTCCAGGTTACAAGCTGACACCTTTTTATTAGTAACCCTCAATAGTATAGCACTTAAGGTACTATTGTTCTAGTTTCGAACTGTGATGATTACTTTTTGAGGAGAACCTGCAGATGAATACATTAAATTACTACATACTGCATAGAGCCATGGGGATATAAGCTCTCCCCGTTTCAAACAGCAGCTCATCCTACCGTATGTATCTTCGAATGTATAGTGTTTTTTTCTAGTGTGAATAGGGTTGAGTAGCATACGTTGTGTAAGGTGAAAACCATTTGGTGTCACTGCACTTTGTCAGTCATCGTATCTATCGAGCAAGAAAGAGGAGAGTGCGGATGTTGACTGGAAACCTCTATGGAGGTGGCCTTTAAGGGTGCATGTGTGTGTTCACATGGTATAAATGTCAAGTGTCATGTCAGAAGCCACCTCTCTTTACCTCACAGGTGACATGTCTTCCCTTCCTGATGCTTTCTCCAGGTCTCCTCTGAAGCAGAAAAACAGTGGGGGTCAGTAAGAGACCTGTCAGAGAGCAAGAAGCTCTGAAGGGAGCAGTCAGGGAAGAAAAAGGAAAAAAAAAGAGGCTTTTGCTTGGTGTAGTGTTTTATCAGTACTGGTTGTCTTCTGTCACCTTCCCCTCAGATACTCAACTTTAGTCTCTCTTTTATGTGTGTGTTACAGGGTAGTAAGGTGGGACTGTGAGATGGATATTTCTGCACTGGAGGGTCACTTTGATTTCATCATGTGTGCAGACTGGTAGGTTCACATACACACACACACACACACACACACACACACACACACACACA